CAACAACACCTCGTCTGCACGCCCATCGACACCCGTCCTGGTCATTAGCCGCCAGACTCGACCTATAGCCCTCATTCCCACCAACTTTGAACAAAAAATGAAGCCTTTAACCAACGACCCCCGCACCACCGTTCCACAGACCGGCAACTCTCTCGAGTGGGCGCTTGACCAACAGCAGCAATTACTGCAAGACCTAACCGGCGAGCTCACTGGAAAGCCATCCTCCTCGTCGACGGGCTCTAACAGCCCTCCTTTTAGCATGGCTTCTACTGTACGTAAATGATACGACTTTTCTGCTGGTGATGCCCCTTGCTGATCGTGCCCGACCAGTCTCCTCTAGAGTTGAGGGACTCACCGAACAGGCACAACAATAGTTATAACAATGTTCATCTAGTCGGGGGTCACAGACGTCAAAACTCGGCTTCTAGGAATCAACCCTCTTCTGGGGACTCGTACCCTCCTTATAGCCAATCTACTACACCACGCTCTAGATCCTTCGACCCCCGAGTAGGGCATCCCTATGCCTATCCTTTAACCGTCTCGGCCTCCGGGTTGCATGGGTACGCTCCTCGTCGACGAAGGACTCCCCAGTCGGATATCATGTCGCAAGAAGAGCGACTTGAGAGTTTGTGGAGTGCGTATGGAGTCGGGGGATCTTCGCACTTGGGTGCTGGTCTCACTACTCAAATGGAGTCTACAAATTTGTCCGGGGACGACTGGCACGGCGACTTCCCGAGCAGTGTCCCTTTTGACGGGGATATTGACGCAAGTTACTACGATCACTTTACCGTCGATCCCCGTCTGCGACAACCCTTTGACGTTCACCAGCCGTTTATGGACTCTTTGTTTCGTAGCCAGGATGACCATCTTCACGGCATGGACTCGGTGATGATTGATGAAATAAACGAACCTCCAGAAGACTCACCCGCCAATTCTGAAGAGAACCGAGATACCACCCTCGAGGTCAGCTCTGCGCGAAGATCCACCTCGGCCGACTCCAACACCACCGCCGCCCCAGCCACCTCTCAAACAAAAGTCGAGGATGACAAAGAAGAAGAGGACAAGGATGCCGCGGCTGACGATGGGGAACAAGATGGCGATGATAAAACTCAGACGAACAAGCCGTCGGCCAATAACTTTGTGAATAAGCTGCATACGATGATTAGCGACCCGGGAGCTGCCGACTTTATCTGGTGGACCGAATTGGGTACCAGGTTAGTATAATCTTTGTATCTTATATCACATATTGACGTTCTTCTACAGCTTTATTGTATCGAGTGCCGGAGAGTTTAGCAGGTCGATACTAGGGCAACATTTCAAGCACAACAATGTAATGTCTCCATCATGCACCCCACTGATGGTTTATTAATATTCTTCTCTAGTTCTCTAGTTTCGTAAGACAACTTAATATGTATGGGTTCCATAAAATCAACAGGGTATGTGATCAAACTGACAGGAGAAATTGTTTCTAACAATTCCAAAGACTCCCCGAAATCAAAAAGGTGTACAACCAGACGCTCAAAAATGGGAATTCTCCCATCCAAAATTCCTCCGTGGTCGACAGGATCTACTCGATGACATCAAGAGGAAACCAGTAGAACCAGACCCTGCCAGTGCCCGACAACGTGTAGAACTGCCATCCGAGGTTGCAGCCAAGCTTAGACAAATGTCTGAAGAACACGAAGAAGTTGTAAAAGCTCTTCATGTAGAGCGTACAAGAGTGGCCCAATTGGCCACAATCGTCAAAGTACTTTACGATCGATTATCTTTATCAGCACCCCGTAAGTGATTTTCTTTATCATCGAGTAGATTTCTGATTGCTCTCAAAGTTCCCCCTTTTCCTCATGACCTTCTCGACAATCGATCAAACCTCCAGGGGACGTCTAGGCAAAATGCAATGGACATCTCTGGGGATAGTCTCGTTCCTTCTAGAAACCCATCTGCGTCATCTATCGGTGCCTTGAGAGGTCGTTTACCTCCAGCGCAACCCCCGACGTCGACACGGAATGGCAGAAGAACGCGCAGTGATCTCGAGGGCAACATGAGTAATATCGCCAATAACCCATCTATCGCAAGTGCATATCGTCAAGACTCATCACAAGGCAATGCAACAACGGTGATCAATAACCTCGCCTTTGGAGGTCAATCACTAAATCAGGAATCGGCATCAATGTTACCGCTTTCAGGACAGACACGAAATGAAATCAGCGCTTTCATACGATGAGTGAATCTCACCCTTTTAATTTCACATTTCCCTTGTCAGTCGCGTCATCTCGCGTTGTAATAATATCTACTGGTTCAATCTATGCGTTGATAGAATATGTTTATACGGAGGGAACAATTATTAAAGAAAAAAAAATGCAATGATTTCCGCAACTAGAAAAATGGAGGCGGGAAAATGAGCTACAGTTAGGGATGAGTCCGTTTAGAATCAGGGGTGCTCATCCCCATTATGAACAGAAGGCGGGGACGGCGCAGTTTCTCTGGCAGGTGTAGGGGAGGCAGATGGAGGTACAGCAGATTCAGATGTGGTCAAAGCGTTTGGAGGGGATGGGTCATCGTCAAGATTGTCCGAGTCAATGTCCTCTACACGGTTACGAGGGCCAGAATAATGGTGAGAGTACGTGTCAATGTCGTCCAAATCAGGGATGTGGTTCATTGTGTCATCCTCAGGGGGCCACGGTCCATGCAGAGCACCAGCATCAGGTGACGATGCCGGTGAATTAGCTTCGTTGGAAGAAGATGCACCATTTCGTACGTAGGGTTGTGTGTAGTTCAACCGGAAATCGTTCAACATGGTATCAGATAACGTATCCTCAAATGGGGGAGGGCTTGAGCTATGGCCAAACGGATCCATATCTAAGTCGGGAAGGATGCGAGAGCTAGAGCCCTCATAGTCATTGAAGTAGTCTTTGTGGTCTAATGGTGAATGGTCAGGGGAGAGCGCGCGAGTATTGAAGGATCGGTACTCCATTTCCACAGGTTGCTCAGACTTGGACGTCGGAGCTCCATTAACACCGTCGTTCATCGTGACTTCCTCATCCCCTTCTGGCTTTGAGCTCATTTTACTCTTGTACGCTTCCACTTTCTCATGCGTGACCCCACCCAGTGGTCTATCCACTTTCCGGCGGTAGAATAAGACGTAGGCGTTGCGGTTCTAAAAGGAATCAGCAATTGAGAAACTTAACTGCGTGGTAAATGAATACTCACAACGGAATCTCTGGCCTTACTTGCGCTGACATGAGTGTCGTCGAAGTGATACCAAGTATCATCCTCGAAATTCTTGGCGTACGCCCGATAGTGCCCACCACCCAGACCTCCAAGATGCTCGTCAACGGCGAAAAGGTCATAGACTAGCGGTTCAGAGGTGTTGGTATCCGTGGCACCTAGTTCTTCGAGGTCTTTTCCCTCTTCTATCCATTTTTTAATGACCAGCCTCTCCTCAACTCGTTCAGTAAGGTCCAGGTCTTCAATTGGGAAGTCGATGAGGGCATCAATCTTGTCACGCAAGAACCGGGAGTTGCTGAAGCGCTTGAGGTGTACCACCAGGATATCTGGTACCTTCCAAAGTTCGAACTTTTTAGTCGCTTGTTGATGCTTTTTGCACCTTGGGCAGTACCAGAGGTCGTCCTCTCCAAGCATTTCTTCTTTGGTGAATTCGTCCAGGCAGTCCTCGAGCGAGATGCCCCGCTCTTTAGTTGCCTTACGCGCTCTAGTTGCAGCGATATAGTCTGGATGTTCAAATGTATCCCATTGTTCCCATAGATTTTGGTCATCTACTTTATAACCCCTTCTCATCGGGCCGAAGTAGAAGTCCACCATATTACCATCCCATTCACAAAGGATCGAATCTTCAGGGTTGAGAAGCTGTACAGCTGGCTGGGCTTCCGATTCTTCATTTGCGGAAGGTGACCATCCAAATGGAGTCCACTTTTTCTTGGTAGTAGCACGAGTGGCCAAGGATTCGCCCAGGCCGCGGAGGGGGTCATTCAAGAGGCTGGTAGTCATACCATACTTGCTGTACTGCGTAGGAGGAGGATAGACCTTGATAGTAAATAGATTATCTTGTGGTCCTAAATTAGTGATTGTCTCCCCTTGCTCGGAGGCATTCTCAGATTTAGGGAGCATATCGGCGTCCTCCTCGACGCCAGGCTTCATATCTACGACATCCTGTTCTGCCTGCTCTTCGCCCGCCTGTTCCTCGGATGAAGCATCGGGAGTGGCGTTTGTAGCTTCGGGAATCTCTACACGCCGTTTATATAGCTGTTCGGCATGCACAGTCCACGGAGCATAATGTTGAACTAGCTTCGCATAGATGGCTTGTTCGCTGCATGCTTCTTCGTGGGTAAAGGCGATATAGAGGGGGATGCCGAATAGGTCCGGCGCATATGTTCTGGAATTACCGTTGGAATGATAAACGACAACGGGGATGAACTCTGGAGGACTGTTGTTGGTTGATTGACTGCCACGAGCTGGACAAGGCAATTCGTAGAGCACTATAACATCCCTATCAGTAATGTCCCCAAGGGGATTATGATCTTCATAGTCTCTGTAGATTTTGTGACCAAAGACTTCTATGCATATTTGCTATACCATTGTTAGTAAGGAAGGAGAAAAAGTTCCGAGATCCGACTGACATTCTCAACTGGTGTACCCAGCCACTTCTTCATAAGGAGCTTAAGGTCCTTGACGCTTCCATCGCGCGGTAGTTGAACCGGAATCTTTGAGCATGTGAACATCAAGATAAAGTACGCATTAATACCACTATACCTTTAAATGAGGTTTCGTGATGTCATATGGGACCCAATGTATTGTGTGTTCCCAGAATCTTTGCACAGGAAGTGGTAAAGTCAAATACATGAAAGGATCAAACGTGATTGAAACCTGTAAGGTATAAAATGATGAGAGAAGTGAAATGATATAAGGGGTTCTCATTACCTTTTCACATTCGGGACAAACAAGAGTGCTCTTATATTGTCCCTGGAAGAGATCGACTATAACACTGTCGTTACGCTTCTTATAGCCTTCCCAGGCGGTAGTCGCATGTTGTACGAGTTCTTTGTCGCCGCCTCCGTTCCAATCCGGATTTTCAACATAGGGCTTTTTGAGAACACGATTAAGATCTTCGTGCAGGCCATCAAGAAGAAAGGCTAGGAACTCTTGGGTATCGTGCTGTGCATAACCACTAAATTGAGGAGCAAAGTGTTGCAGTTGAAGTTTGAATTCGCGTGGTGCAAATGCATAACTGATTGGATGCCACAATTTGTCCAAGACATTTCCAAACGACTCGGCAATCGCTCCTTTCATTCCCAAAGGGTTGGTGGGATTCAATTCATCCTGGTACACGCCATCTGAGAGTTTCGGTCAATTTGAGATCTCCGGGACAATGAAGAGCATACTCAAGAAATATTCAGAAAGCTCTGGGCAATGAGCGAGGCATTGTAGGGCTGAGTTCATAAAGCACGTATTGCCACTGCAAAAATTGGTCAGGCAATATAGAGAACACTAGAATGACTTACAGATTGTTTAGTCCGACGGTCCCGGGAGACCGTGAAGGAGGGGTGTACGAGCTGAACCGGCCATTCGAACCATACGATGAGGAGCTTTGGAAAACAGTGAGTGCCGTACTCGTTGTGCTGTGTGAGCTGGTAGGTGTGAATCCAGTGCCGGGTGATATGGGCTTGATAGCATTATGAGCAGACGAATTATACTTTGCTTTAAATGCTTCTGTATTAAAGAAAGTTGGAGCGCTACTGGTAGTAGGTGCCGTACGCGTCCTCTTGGCGAGTTCCAAAGAGGTCATGTCCACAGTCCAAGTGTCCAGTGAACGGTACTCGTAGACTATAGCATCGCCACTCTCCCAAAGAGACTCATCCAAACGTTTTCCTTTGATTTCGTTAAGGTCAATGGGCTGCGTTTCGTCGTCCTG